AGGGGAGGGGAGGGGAGGGTGGAGGGAAGGAAGGAACACGATCGAAAGAAAATCTTAATGCGAAATATCAAATGATTTATATTCTATCGTAGTTTTATCGACAACGATCAGAAATTTATTGACAGATGTAAGAATATTGACAAATGTTTTTATACATTGTTCAGATAATTTAATCATTATTTAAATCGTCGTGCAAATTTTTCGAATTAATTTTAAAGAAAAATGTACGATTGTGTAAGAGAAATATGAATTAAAAAAAAAATGATCTCTACATTTTTCTTTTATATAATGATTTAAATCAATTGTTAAATCTTTGTTAATATTAATTATAAGTAATAATATAAGAGAAATATCAATTAATTTTTGATTTATAACGATTTAATAATAATTCAAATTCTGTGTTGAAAATGTATAATAATATCGTATATAATATAAATAGATATTTAAATATCGAATATTATAGTGAGTACTTCCATTGAAAATTAATTACAACTCGATTATAAGAGAGAAATATAATTAACGTATAATTTATATATTATAAAATTACACCTTGATAAAATGTAGAGATTTGATATTTAAATATCAATCATTTTAAACAATTCTCTGAAATCATTAATTGCAAATAATTGTAATAGAAATGAATAAATGAATTAATTTAACCCTCCCCCCTCCCCCCACCCCTTTAAATTTATTTATTTAAATAGATTTATATTTAAATAAATGTCAAACATTTCGAATGACTCTGGATGAAAATGAAAATTATTACGAATTATTGTATAAGAGAGAGAAATATAAATGAATTAATTTATGTGTTCTACGCACACATTTGTTTCTTTGATTTAAATTGATATTTAAATTAGCAAACATTTTCAAGAATTTATAATCGATGAAAATGAATTTAATAATGATTCCAAAAGTAATATTAATGAATTGATTTACATTTAAAATTACTTTTAAAATACATACATATAAATCGATATTTAAATAAATTGAACATTCTTAAAACAACTTTGTAATAACATTATTCATTGTAAATGACACACAACTACCTGAAGATATTTTATTATTAAATGTATGCATTGAACATTAATTAATCTTGTAATTTGTATTTATTAGTAATAAAACGACACGTTAAATAAAACATAAAACAACAGAGAAACTTACGAATTAGGGGTCCCCCCATACGTCTAGAATAAATCTCAAACATTTATATATCACATACTTGCATTTCAAACTCGTTCCCTCTTCCTCGTGTTCCAACCTCCGTTAACATTTACATACACACGATTCAGAATTCTATACGTGTAAGACGATAACTCACGATATAAAAGCGATAAAAAAAAAAAAAGAAAAAGAAATAAAATGAAAGAAAGAAAGAAAGAAAGAGTCACGTGTTAAAAGAAATCATCCGAACACGACAAACCTGACTCATGATTATGGTCAATCCTATTCAACGTTGACACTAACAATTCTATTCATTTAAAAAACCCAATCAATCATTAAAAACAAATAATAGAAACAAATTTCGACAATTTTATTATACGTATATTTTATTAACATTATCAAAAACACAGATAATATGATTGAATTTATCAAACAAATTGAAAACATTCTCTTAAAGAAAATTTATTCGAAATCATTGTAAAAAAACTTGGCGTCGTGTAGTCTATTGTGTCATTCAGTACACCTGTTTCAATTCTTTTTTTTTTTTTTTTTTTTTTTTCGATCGATGACAGAGAAATGACGATAAGTTCGACTTACATTGAAAAGAAAACAGAGGGGTAAAAAAAAAGGGATAAGTTAAAATAAAAACA